GCGAATAAGTGGATGGGTGGGCGAATAAGTGGCTGGGTGGGTGAGTAAGTGGATGGAGTGAGAAGTGATGGTGTGAATGGTGGATGGGTGGGCGAATAAGTGGCTGGGTGGGTGAGTAAGTGAGCGTATGGACGGGCATACACGAACTAAAATGAAGAAAAAAAGGCTCTCCTTCCCTCCCTTTCCTCTCTCCCCAGTGTGGGTGCCGCCGCCTTCGTTAGCCGTGTATAACGACCCGACCTCCCGAGAAACCTGCCCTAAATACTAAAGAAAAGATGTGAAGAAGGAATAACATATGAGGCTCCCCGGCGCTGGGCTTGATGCCTCGGGCTAGGCTAAGAGGGTGTTAATGGAAGGTACTACTGTCAGCGGCTGGTAATGGGCAGCGAGAGGTAGGAGTTGGGACACGTCATGGTGGTTGTTGTTATTATTAGTGTTTATTGATATTAATGAGTGGTGGAAGTTTTTGTTGATGGTGATGACTGATAGTTGTTATTATTTAATGGGGAATGGTTGTTGTTAGGGTGGCTGTGTATAATGGAAGACGTCTGGTGACAAACATAACATGCACTTTCCACCACCATCACCACCACTAGCACCACCATCACCACCACCCATCACCACTACCACCACCAACTCTGCCAAGCCGTCGCTGCTCTCAATGTGAATGACAGATCTCGCTCGGCTCAGCTATGCCCAACACTCAACCCACGTGGATTTCAATTACCCAACTTTAAAACACCGAACCTGTTGGAATTGAGGGAATATGTGTGTGTGTGTGTGTGTGTGTGTGTGTGTTTTCTCTTTGTTTTCCCTCACGTCACACTCTCTCTCTCTCTCTCCAACACGTCACACCATATACCCTCGTCTCGTCGTCAACCAGATCAAGCGTCATGGCGTAATTACCCTAAACGCCTATGTCATTAGTCTCGTTTCCGCGTCATTGCGTATATTAACCTCGCCAACAACCCCTAGTTAATCTCTTCCTACAATACGCATTACGTTTTGTTTTGTTTTTCCCGCGATGTTACGGTTACCTTCATCATGTCGTAAAAATCCAATCTGCAGTCAGAGCGTAATCTGGAGTCACGACGTAATCTGACGAGACTGTGATCGAACAAGGGAATTACGCACTTCCTTACGCATCACGACGGACTACTGGCAATAACTTCATTACTCGCCTCGATGCCTACAGCCAAAGGCAAGATCAACAAGGACCCTACGGCTCGGCTCTCCTCTCCTCTCCTCGACGCCCTCCACCAACCCTCTCGCTCCCTACCACCACCTTACATGGACCTTCCAATTCTACTACTACTACTTCGATACTACTACGACTACAAAAACTACTACTACTTCTACTACTATACTACTTCACACTTTTACCAATTCACTTAAGGTATTTCAATGGTCAATCTACCTTATCAATACATTAAGAGTATTAACCACGGCCCATTAACCTTATCACGCCATTAATCCTCAAAGGGTAACCCCGTGTTAAAGGCTACGGGTTGGGGGGGGGAGGGGCAAATTAACCTCCCAAACTCAGTCTTTTAAAGGGATAATATTCCTATTTTAATTAACAGTTTTTATTATCACTCCACTAACTCGAGAGACAGACAGACAGACAGACAGATACACGCACACATACACTACAACTACTGACAGTAAGAAAATATAATAATACAAATAAATCCCCATCCCCTCAAAAAAGGTATTTTAAATTCGTATATGTACATCGTTTTGCGAGTGTAGTCTATGCTCTTTTAAAAATGCCTAACGTAATTCTGTTGTGGAATTAAAAAGAAAATAATACAAATAAACAAATAAATAGAACAAACAAAATAAAGGTATTCGCGTTACAATTTGGTTCAGACAAACACACCAGAGAGAGAGAGAGAGAGAGAGAGAGAGAGAGAGAGAGAGAGAGAGAGAGAGAGAGACTTTCCTGGATAGCAGGAGAGTCCCGTGTTGATGGCCTCGCTAGGGAGGAGGAGGGGGGGGGTTAATGACCATCCCCACAAAAGTGTCATAAAACACATTTTCTTTCCACATTAACTCTCAGCTTAACACACCTAAGTCTCTAATATGATCATATAACCAACAACAGTTAAGCTTCTCTTATAAGCTTTTCCGCAAATGTGAGCTAATAGGCTGCCAACAATGTGCGTTTTACATTTGTTAATAATTTAATTTAAAAGTGGATAACGTATCAGATTAAGCCAACTGTCTGGATGTTACGAGAGAGAGAGAGAGAGAGAGAGAGAGAGAGAGAGAGAGAGAGAGTTTATAATGTTGACCAATATAACCAACAGATCTGACACTGTGTTACAAACTCACAACAAAGTTCTACTCTGATGGAACTAACGATTTTGTGCCCTAAGCTCACACCACTCTGACTCTAACAGCACATTGCATATAATCACGTTGTGTCCTGAACTCACACCATTCTTAAACATAACCATGCTGTGATGTAACCTTAGAGCACTGTAAAAAAAATAACAAAACCCACTGTGTAATGCTGTGTCGTAACCTCAAACCACTGTCAAAAATTGAACCAAATTACCCAGGCTATTATGTTGTGTCGTAACCTCAAACCACTAAAAAAAAAAATAACCAAATATACCCAGAGTATCTTGCCGTGTCGGTAACGTCAAACGACTGTAAAAAATTAAACCTAAAAACTCCAAATATTCTGCCTTGTCGTAACCTTAAACCAATATGAAAATTTAAGCTAATAAACCAAGGTGTTATGCCGGGTCTAAACATCAAACCACTGCTAAAACCCGAACGAAATAACCCTAAAATATTCTGTCGTGTCGTAAACTCAAACTACCTTAAAAAACATAGGAATACCTCCCCCCCTCCCCCCAAGTGTAAGGGTTTCATATGATCACACCACAACAGGGGAAGGGAGGAAGGGAGATATGAAGGGTGGAAAGGCAGTAGGAAGGAAGGGTGGGAGGGAGGAAAGAACGAAAAAAAGAAGGATGGAGAGAGGGAAAAAGGGAAGGGTGGAAGGTAGCAAGGGAGGATAGAACGAAGGGATGGATGAAGGGAGGAAGGGAGGAAGGAAGGAAGGGAGGGAGGTTGCAGTTATCCTCCCTGTTATCAAGAACGCCCACAGTCCAATCCTTCCTTGTATTAGAATAACAAAATAAGCTTCCCTGGGCTTAGTGGCGCTTAAGCCGGCTCCACCACACGACCAGCTCCACACAACCAGACGACCACCACCACACAACCAGACGACCACCACCACACATCCAGACGACCACCACCACACAACCAGACGACCACCACCACACAACCAGACATCCAGACGACCACCACCACAAAACCAGACATCCAGACGACCACCACCACAGACGACGACTCCACCACACGACCAGACATCCAGACACAACCACGACTCCCCCACCACACAAGTCCAGACAAATAACTCACACACACACACACACACACACACTGACGTACTCCAGATAAACAGATCACCTCCCGATGTGTTTATGAGATGAATCTGTCTAAATCCAATACAAACGGCGGCTCTTTTTTGTTGTTGTTGTTGTTGTTGTCTATTGGTGTGTCTGCCTCCTGAACAACAGTGTGGCGTTAGAGTGAAGGACGTTTCACCACGACTCTCTCTGGCATTACCCAATACGCCGTGTGTGCTGAATGCAATCTATCCATCTATACGCGATATCAGATTGAAGTTTCTGTCACTATGTTATCCGAAAGTACGGTAAAACCTCTGTATAACGGACGTAAGCTGTTAGGGGTGGGTTTCACAGTTAAAGGACTACGAGATATAAGGGACATTCATCTGTATATAGTTCGTTAGATGGAGGTTTCACATCTAATATAGTGACTTTGATATAAAGGAAGGTTCCTGTCCCTGTTGTTCGTTAAAGAGAAGTTTCACTGATATATGGGGTTATACAAGCTGGTGCAAAGGAGGAGGAGGAGGAGGAGGAGGAGGAATAACCCTTCAAAAAGCATTCCCAGTTATAGAAGTTGAGTGACAATTCTATTTCAAAATCACATCATCTGGTACTGTAAAGATGGAATAGAAATATGCACTCAAAAGATGGAGACGGAGAGAGAGTGAAAGTGAGTGAGTGAATCAGAGAAGTGTACTCGAAGTGGTGAGTGTGTGAGAGAGCATCTGAGGGAGAGCATTAGGATAAGTGTCCCTAAGGCTGGAGAAGAAGAGTTTGTAAATATCAAGAGAGAGAGATAGTGAGGAAGAATACGATGGAGTGGTGAGGAAGAGTGAGGAGTAAGATTGTACGAGGTAGACAGAGCTGAGAGAGAGAGAGAGAGAGAGAGAGAGAGAGAGAGAGAGAGAGAGAGCAGTGTACCCCAAGCTGAAGTAATCCCTGGGCTCTGTCAAGACATGTGGAGGTCGCTGGTAATGTAGGCTACAAGATTCGGTTGGCTCGCCTCCTCTGCCTACCAAACTCTCTTCCTACTGCAGCTGCTGGACATTGACCTCCCCTCTTTCCCCACCCACCCCTAACCACCACCACCATCCTATTGCATCCTGGTGGTAGTGGTGGTGGTAGTAGTGGTGTTGACTACGTGTGATACTGGTGGTGAGGAAGTGCTGGTTGTCTGGTAGTGCCTGGTAGTGGTGGTAGTAATGTAAGGTGCTCTCTTTAACAATGACCTGACCTGACCTTGACCTATAATAATTACCTCCAGTCAATCTCCCCATCACACCCCGTCTCCACCACCAACTCCATCACTATCTCCACCACCCCACATCCCCATCACCACCAACACCCTTACACCCCCTTCTCCATCACTACTACAACATTACTTAATTACTATACATCATCTACCCATCTTCACCACCTTACACCACCATCTCCACCACCCACCCTTCCCCCACCTCCATCGCCTCTCCCTCATACACACCAGCATTCCTTTAGTCTCTTTCCCACGCTGACTTCCCACATTTGGCGGGTTGTACATTGAAACTCCATAACATCAGTGCCAAACTTTTACGAATGGCTGGTTCCTCCCGATTCCGACACGGCTGAGTCCAGGGCGGCGGGCTATGGGGGTAGGAGGGGAACCAGCTGTAGGAGTGAGAGTTCTTTCTGGTTTATTTGTTGTTGTTATTATTATGGTTGTTGTTATTATTCGTTATTTCTATAGCATTTCATCTTGTTTTATTCTATCTGCTTCACCAAAGATCTTCAATCCATACCACCAGAGGCTTCAACAGGTGAGCCTCCCAATCCATCCCACCAAAAGCTTCAACAGGTGAATCTATCCATCCCACCAACTACACCCAAACACCCATAAGACCACACTAACTACACCTAAGAAAGGGAGGGGGCGACACACACATTACACCCAAACACCAAAGTGGAAAACACTCCACCACAGTTGAGTATAGAGTCAAAAGGTGTCCCGGTTACACCCACATACACCCACACAGAAGGCTTAGTCGCAAACCCAAGGAACCGCTCAAAACGGAGAAGAGTTCAATTTCCGTCTCTTTTTTTTTTGAGGAGGAAGGAGGATGGGGGAAGGCGCCGTGACTCCACCCTTCATGCTAGCCCCTGTACCAGCTCTCCTCCTCCTCCTCCTCCACTTCCCTTCTCCTTTCCCTTTTCCTACCCCTCGTTCCGCCCTCCAAGGCCTTCCTCCTCTCCCTTCCACTTCCCCTCCCCACCAATTCCTTGCCCTGGCCTCCCTCCCCCTCCACACTGTCACAAAACTCAATAACCTCCCCCCCACCTCACCCCGACTCTCTCCCCAAACACACACACACACACCTAATGTCGCTCAAGAAAAAAAGAACTTATTCACACATAAAGCACAGAGGTGAACACACTTCCACAAACACATACATATTTATATCCACAACCATCAAGACTCAAGACCCACCCACATACCTAAATAAACACCCACCTACACCCGCAATCGTACATAAAAATACACCTACAAACACTCACCTACACCCACACACCCATCCAACTTCACCCACACCAACTATTTACAGTAAACGTCTTGAGTTACGAAAACAGCTGTCCAAAAATAAAAACAAAAGAACTTGAGAATATCGTCGTGTTTACAATAGAACAGCTGATCGTGTCAACAAGAGACACCCGAGTCGTATCAATGTAAATCTCCTTACAAGTATATAGAGGGTGAAATACTCGACTAGTGCCACTTGAGAGGCCACTCCTGGGCCATGAGGGCCACTCCAGGGACACGAGAAGTGGGGTTACATACTCTTGAGATATATAGATACTCTCACATTGTCAGCTTCAGGAATAAATGTTGAAAAATACAAAAGAAATAATAGTGATGTGAGAAAAAGGTCTGTAGTAGAAATATATTATGCGATGTTCAGGATATATATTATTCTCTATATCATATTTCCCGACGAAACAATAACAAAAGAATATAATATTTCCCACATAAATAACTCCAAAAATAACAAGACCCATGTAAGCACGGTGTCTCCTCCTCAGGCAGGACCACAACGCTGCCAGAAATCATCCAATGGAACCGTCCCGACAAAGACACACTACCCATCCCGATACAACATGTGGCATATGTGGCGTGAAATCCCGTTCAAAAAATTGGTACACCACCTTCCTTTAAATTATTGATTGATTTTGCGTTGGAAAATTTCGCGATGGCAGAGCAAATGGAAAATAATAAGGTGGTGTTCGCGATTCGCTATTCAAGATTTCCTAAATGTTTTGGCCTCTGTACCCGCTCACACGAGGACGGGAAAGGAAGGTGGAGAGGGGAGAGGAAGGAAGGAGGGAGAACGGATAATAAAAAATGGAAAGGAAGAAGGGAATGAAAAGCAAAGGACCAGGGAAGAAACAGGAGAGGAAGACGGGGAATAGAAACAGAGAGAGAGAGAGAGAGAGAGAGAGAGAGAGAGAGAGGTGGAAGGTGGGTAGGGAGTGGAGGGATAGAATAATGATGGTGAGAAGAAGAGAAGGAGAGGAATAAGAAGGAAGAGGAATGTAATCTCAGTACCGAGAAGAAAAAAAAAACATTCATACGGACACAACTCCTAGCTACAGGTATGAGGTGAGTAGGTGACCTTTTCCTTTAGGCAGAAATGTATTAAATAAAATCCAAAACACAGTAAAAAGTAAATAAATAACAAACAACAGAACAAACACAGAAACAAAAATAAAACATTAATCAAACAAACTAACAAATCAAAAACAATAAAACAGATTTAACGAAGAACAAACACACTACACAATACAAACAGTAAACAAAAAAAAAACATAAAAACAATAAAAAAACAACAACAGGAATCACAAAACAACAGCTCTGGGCCCAAACAACGAGACCTTGCAACTCGAGCGGAAGAAGAGGAATCAAGACCTGGCAATGTAACGAGTCTCGATTTAATGAGGTCGTCACGCCAGTTATGTATTAGTTGGCGACGTTTTCAATTTTCTCTAATGAATAAACGTCAGGAGTAAAGAGGCCAGGATAAGAGGCCACCACACCCGGAGTCTTATTGGGTGAGGGAGGGAAGAGGGACTCACGTGTGTCTCTGAGAGTGGGGTGGGAAGGGTTGTGTGTGTGTGTGTGTGTGTGTGTGTGTGTGTGTGTGTGTGTGTGTGAATAAAAAAAAACTTCGATCCCCCTTTGTAATGTTTAACTTTATAGGTATATTTGTGCCACTTGCCAGGTGCTTCTGGTATTACTGTTTTTATTATTGAAATTGAATTGAAAAACTTCGAAGAACACAGAAGATGAACAGTACGAACGCAAGAACATACAACACCGTGTTCACCAATAAATATGAACTACAATAACAACATTACTGAAGAAAACGGAAGAAGAAAAAGGAAGGAGGAACAGAAGAAGACGAGTAGTGACTTACCTTTTGCTTCTCTGTCAGCTGCCGGATGTCGTCAGCGTCACCCACCACAACAGTCTGCTGACGGGTCATCTGCTCCATCAGTGTCAGCCAGTCACGAATCTGAGGGAGAGAGAAAATACACAATGTCAGTCACTGTCAGCAAAATACCCACTCAATGATGCCCAATTACTGATAACAGTCCTTTTAATTACAACACCAAGCGTAAAAATAATCTAATATTATCCTTTATAAATAATTCGAATCACAACAAAATCTTACTACATAACGGAGTCTTAACTAATGCTTTTAAATCCCTTGGGAGGGTTTAAAGGGGGGTTGGATTACCTCCTATAAATTACCTCAAAGTCATTATACTCCAAGATACGAGTACACCATAAGACCATCTCAAACACCAACACCTTCAATAGGCCATCAAGCGGAACTAACCATCTCCACGGATCACCCATTCCTACACACCGGATCACCCATTCCTACACACCAGATCACCCATTCCTACACACCGAATCACCCATTCCTACACACCGGATCACCCATTCCTACACACCGGATCACCCATTCCTTGACACCGGATCACCTATTCCTACACACCGGATCACCCATTCCTACACACCGGATAACCCATTCCTACACACCGGATCACCCATTCCTACACACCGGATCACCCATTCCTACACACCGGATAACCCATTCCTACACACCGGATCACCCATTCCTACACACCGGATAACCCATTCCTTGACACCATCTGAACAAAGTGGCGTAACATTCCCTTGAAATCTGGGTTCGATGGATGGGCAAGGAAGAAGAATAAGGAAGAATACAGGCGGAGGTGTGAAGAGGAGGGGCGGAAGGAAGAAGAGGAGGAGGAGAATAAGAAACGGAAAGAGAAGTAGGAAAACAAAAACACAACGAAGAGAAATAAGGAAGATTAGAGGTTGAGATGATGTGGACGTGAGGGCAGGAGAAAGAAGGAGGAGGAGGAGGGGGCAGAAAAGAAAAGAGGGACAAAAGAGAAGGAAGGAAAGAAGGAAGTGCTGAGTAAAGAGGAGGGCATGTGAGTGCAGGAGGAGAAGAGGAGAGAAGCCATGCAGGAGGAGGATAAAAGGGAAGTAGCAGTCGTGTGCGGAGAGCGTTTAGGTGGGCGTTAACAGAGGAGGAGTGAGTGTAAGTGGAAGGCAGAGTGTGTATGAGGAAATGGAGGAGGAGGAGTATGATGAGGAGGAGTATGAGGAGGAGTAGTATGATCATGATGAGGTGGTGTGTGTGGCAGAGTTAAGGCTGGCGTCAACACAAGAGCTACCGCTACAAGCCTCGCCACACTTAATGATCCAACAATGTTTACCTCAGACCTCCTCATTACCCGAGTCTCTCTCTCTCTCCCTCTGCTCTTTGTTAGTTTGTGTGTGTGTGCGTTGTGATGGGAACTAGGTAAGTCAGCTAGTTCAAGAAACGAGTTATTCATTATGTTAATTCTTTTTCATCTTACATCTGTCTGTGTGTCGTATGTATTGCTGTAGGGTATATAGTATAGTGTTGTATTGTAAATTATGTATTATTTATGTCAGTGTTTGCATCCTTGTAGTGAGTAATGAACAACGTGGCAACTCTGTAAGGTTAGTTGGTAGGTCTACTCGTTCATCGTTTATCTTCCCTTGTGTTTTCATTTTGTTGAACATTGTAATAACCCCTAGACAAGTATGTCCCATAACAGTGTGTGTAAACCCAATAGAAATACTTGAAAATGCAACTTTTTAACACATATCACACTATACTTAACGGGTCACTGGAACCTAAAAGAACTGGTGGGATTGTAGTCCACTTGGGCGTATCAGATAGGGATTTTGGTTCCATTAGGGAATAATCAGTCGTGGTTTCAGTCTATTGGGAATTACGAACATCAGATGGGATTTTAGTGCACTGAGGAATTATCAAAAGGGATTAAGGCCGGTGGGTAATTATCCGTGGTCAAGGCTTCGCCCATCCTCACTCTGGTTCAATACTACTGCTGCGGCTTCAAATAAAAGGTTGAACGGGGGGAGGAGGTCGCGGAGAGGGAAAGGTCGGTGGATGGGTGGGTGGGTGGGTGGTGGGTCGGTCGATGGGTGGGTGGGTGGGCGTGGGCGGGCATGCAGGTAGGTAGGTAGGTGGGCAGGTGTGTGTGGGGAGGTTGAGGTGGTATTGGTCGGTATGGTGTAGGGGGGGTTGAAAGTGTGGTAAAGCTGATGGGTGGCAGCTAGGGGTGGTGAAGCTGTACAGATTTTAGGTGTGGATGACCGAACAGCAGAGACAGGCGTGGTGGTGGAGGAGGATGCACACGCCCTCCTACGGCTGGGCTGGGCGTGGCGTGGCAGCTGGAGCTATAGACCATATTTGCATACCTCCGGGGATGGCAGCACTAATCATTTCCCATTACCATATCCATCCCGGGAGCAGTGAGAAGCTATCGGCGTTATACACACTGGTAATGCTACTCTCACAGCCTGGGGGAGACGGGTGGGGCTGGGGCTGGGGTGAGGGTGGTGCTAGAGTGGGGTGGGTGGGGGGTTAAGCTGGAGAGTGGGAAGAGGCTGTCTACCTAATACCCCAATTTATGTGGCCACTCAACTACGGCGGGTGACGTGGATGGTTAAGATGACCCCCTCCCCTAATCCACCAAAGCTTGCGCCTTCGTTACCAGCACCACCAACGTTACTAACACCACCATCGTTAACAACACCTACCACCGTTACTACCTCTCACTACTAATAAGAACATAACATAAGAAAATAAGGAGTCTGCAATAGGCCGGTTGACCTGTGCATGGCAGCTCCTGTCGAGAGTTACTACCACTCTCTATCATCCATGAATCTATCTAGCCTCCTTTTGAAACTTTCCAGCGTTCCCGCACTTACTACAAAGTTGCTAAGCTTGTTCCACTCGTCCACCACCCTATTTGTGAACCAGTTTCTTCCTATCTCCCTCCTAAACCTAATGTCGGCCACAGACAAACACGGGTATAATGTCCTCATATAATACTCGGCTTAGTGGATCATGAAGTGGGCAAATATTACTGCTCCATAATTCAGGGTCATCGTTGGGAGCATGATTTAGGGTGGGAAGGGACGGTAGAGGGTGGGGAAGGGACGGTAGAGGGTGGGGAAGGGACGGTAACGGTGGTGAAGGGGCGTAATGGGGAGCAGGATGGTCAAGGAGGAGTTTGATAGGATGGGGAAGAGAAGGAAGGGGAGTTAATGGCTCCTCCTTCGACCATCCTGCTCCCCATTGCTCCCCTTCACCACTTTTACCGTCCCTTCTCCACCCTCTACCGTCCCTTCTCCACCCCTTACCGTCCCTTCCCACCCCCTACCGTCCCTTCCCACCCTAAATCATGCTCCCAACGATGACCCTGAATAATGGAGCAGTAATATTTGCCCACTTCATGATCCGCTAAGCCGAGTATTATATGAGGACATTGTACCTGTGTTTGTCCGTGGCCGACATTAGTGAACGGCAGGTAATAACGGCTTACGAGAGGAATATATTACGGTTAATGATACGGATACATAGGTGGGTGTAATCCTACCTCGCTTATTACCCACACCTGGTTATGGGGAAATATGTCTCCATCTGATTATTTTCGTTTAGTCGTTTTTTTTGTGTGTGTGTGTGTGTGTGTGTGTGTGTGTGTGTGTGTGTGTGTGTTGTAGGGATTACTATACGAAGAGGTATGGTGGGTGATGGGCCGCCATATCACTCTACTTAAGTGTGAAGTGTGTGTGTGTGTGTGTGTGTGTGGGTGGGTGGGGGGGGGTGGGGGGAGAAGATGAAAGGAAGTAGGATGATAAGTAGGAGGGATGGGAGGGGGGGATGGAGAGAGAGGGAAGGAAGGAGGGGGAGGGGAGGCTGAGTGGCTGGTGGGGCAGTGATAACGCTCACCACGACACCCACTAATACTCGGCTGACACACTCCGACACACTCATTAATCCTCCCCAAACCCTCCCCTCCCCTCCCCCACTCCTCCTTAACTGTGTGTGTGTAATAATAATAATAATAATAATAATTAACGATTTATTGAAAGAGCATGGCAGCCAGACGGTTGAAAATTTACAGTTGCATAATTGGGGAATGGGTCTCTTGATTGACAAATATTATACAAGTAACATATGTGATACAAACATGATATAATTATAATAACTAGGAGGGGAGAAGGCTTTACTACAGGGAATTTCAACATAGTGATAGTGCAAAAAGGCATAAAATTCACTGGGAGTGAATATACACATTAACCCCAAAGTACAGAACATGAGAACAATATCCGTTAACTTCATGATTCAATAAATTTAAACAACCTTTCCCCTCAAAAAAAACAATCAACTAACAAAGGAATACCATTAACCCCAAACTACAAAGCAAATACTCTCGTTAACATGAAAACCCAACAATTTTAAGATTAAATAAAATAATAAACATTAACCTCAACATATCACCCTCGTTAACATCAAACTTCAATACTGGATAACATAATCAAGCAATAATCGATAGCCTAGGAGCACAGCCAGACCCCAGGTACGCAGTATTTCACCTGCTGGCTGACCCAAGATCACACTCTCGACCCAGGATCCAAGAACACACCCCACACACACCCCACACACACCTCGCTCTTGTGTGTCTCCTAGCAATTTCTTCTTCATCGTCATATAAACCTCAAATTTACTGCCCCACTATTTTCTTTGCCTCATACGCAAATTGCAATGAGCTCTGAGCATCTGCAGTAAGTCTCTTTTGTTGATATCTAGAGCGTAAACATTACATTTTGTGGGCAATTGGAGTTCAAAACACAAATGGTTTACGTTAGTAGTGGCTGTATATCAATGACCTCTTTCATAATTAGAGCGTAAAATTTATGGGTTTTTTGTTTCGGGGAGGAGGGGCAGGGGGATTAGTTTAACTTTAAAATACATAGGACAGGACGAGTAGATCTTTAAACTATGTGGGACAGGACAAGTGGATCTTTAAACTATAAGGGACAGGACGAGAGGATCTTTAAACTATACGGGACAGGACGAGCGATTCTTTAAAATATTCGTGATCCTAAAATATATGAATCGCTGCGGTAAAC